CCGCCTCTGCACGCGGGAGCGCCCCGCCCCACGTCTAGGGACGCCCCCGGGGCCCCGCCCCCCGCGGGCGGGCACCAGGCCGCCCCTCAGAACGCGGGGGTGGTAGGAGCCCCGCGCTGGACACGCGGGGCCTCCGCCCTGGCCGAGCCCCCCCACCACGCACCAGCCCCCGCGGCGAGCGAGCGAAGGAAGCTTCGGGCTCGGCCCTTGTGAAAAATCTCCGTTTTATTACTATTGCTTGTGACAAAATAACATTTCATACAAACGAGGGGCTTGGGTTACTGGCCGAGGGGAGAGGCGGTGGGCTGAGGTCCCGGAGGGAAGGCCAGGCTGGAGGGAAAGAAATCAAGCAGCAGCCCTGATGCTTTGCACATTCTCTGAGAAAAATATCTTTACAAAGAAAAATAGACTTGTGTTACATCTTGGCTGAGCTCCTTGTCCTTTGTAAACGAAAGGCACCCTGCTGTCCATGCCCCAGGATCCATCTCAGGGCCAAGGAAACAGACAGGCCAGGTCTACACTGGGAGGCCCCCCGGGCACAGGGCACCAGCGCACACATGTCCAAACTCAAGCAGGTGCTGTGGGACTTGTCCCCAAGTCTGATGCAGGCAATGAAGCAAGTGGGAATGCTGGTCAGCACTGTGACTGGTTGCCCACCCTCAGAGAAAACCAGTCACAAGATACGGTATCATCCTCCTCAGCACTTGTCAAAGCAATGCCCCAGCTCCAGAGCAGACTGCGCAGCAGCTTGCCAGCAACCCATGGGGGACACCTAATGTGCTTACATACAACATCCTTCTTTTCTATGAGAACTGAAGTCAATGCAGGTAGCTATGGTATTTGCTGGTACTTTTACCTTCCTCAAACTTTACCCACTGTTCCACTTTACCCACTGTCCCTATAAGCTTTGTCCTCCCCCTTAAGCTGCAGGGAGATGGCAGTGTTTTATGATTAAGAATGCAGGATATTGAGCCACATGCATCAGGCAGCATGTAGCCCAACAGCTTGACATGACAAAAGAATGGAGCAGGAGACAAACACGGGAAATATCTGGAGCGGAGGATGTCATGAAGCACAGAGCCTCAGGGTTAAGTTAATACACCTTACCCATCTCACTGCTCCACCGCTCACCATCTTCCTAATTCATTTCTGGCTTTCAAAATGTTTTGTCCATTATTCTTATATCTTGATTAGGGAAGCAGAATGGATGCCTTGGCCTAGAGGGCTAAAATGGACAGACAACTGCTGTTTCTCTTTTGCAAAAAGAGATGCACCAAAAGCCATAAGCAAATGCACTTAGAAAAATGATTCATACCCAAAGGAAAGCAGGGACAGCAACACCTGGTCCACATAACACTAGGTGGCCCTGCTGCACCAACTGCAGTACAAAATCTTCAATGACCCTTACAACAGCTGTCCAGGAGGGTGGCTCTCTCCCCTTGCACAGCATAAGATCCTGGAGCACAGAGTGCTTCAGGGAGGTCAGACAAATACTTTTAAGGATTTAGTGTCAGTTTGCATTTTTGGTCCTTTTACTTCTCCACACAGTATACACAAACTCCCTATCCTCTTTCCAGCCCAGCATAAATCGAAAGGGATATTTTCACAATGATCCTGCCCACCAGCTCCTGAGGCAACACTTAGTCTCCTTCATCCCTTTAGTACCTGGCTAAAGTACTACTCTGGAAACAGGCTGTTGACTTGGGGATGCGGGGAGAATGAGAAGGGCTTGAGGTTCCTACTAAACATCCTACTCCAAACAGAGGACAAGCTGATGGTGAGAAGACACTCTTGTAATCATATTACCAAGACCCAGATCCCTGTTGCAGGGATGCAGCCGATGAAAGAAGGAACACTGGAGAAGTGCTTGGGAAGGAAGGAAGGTAATCCCTGACCTCTGAGTCACAATTAGCAGCCCCCATTGCAGGGCTGTCTTCTTATAGGGATTTTCCCCTCAGGGCACCTTACTGGGGCAGCTTTTTACAGCTGGCAGAACCAAACAGTGGTTGAGCTGGGAGTGTTTCCTGTAATCTTTTCTTAGAGCTGAGAACACCCTGACAGGCAGGACACCCTGAGCACATCGGTCCTTTCTTCTTCCCACACTCTTGTAAGACAGCCATTAGAAACTGGAATGAACCCCTCCCCACAAGATCTAACACCCAGTCCTAGGTTTCAGCCTGGCCTCAGGCTGAGCAGATGCACTCTGCAGAGCAACCACTAGATGGCACTGAAACATCCCAAAATTCCACCTGTGCAGAGGGTACCCGGTACTGTTTAAAGGACAGGCTGTACAACCCACTTACACATGCCAAGAGTTAGAGGTAGAACACTCCCTATTGCTGGCTCAGTTTATCTGATATCCCCCTTCTGAGTGCTTCATTCTCAGTCACCCTGTCACCAGATAGAGATCTTCCTGTTCATAAAAACAAGGAAAAGGAAGTTGCTTCAGACAAAAAATTAGACAAAAAAATGACACTTGAAGGCACCTGGATTTATACCACACACAAGGTCAGATCCTGGGGAGTCATTAATGGTCTCCTGGGATCGCTCTTCATGCATGTTTCTGGGGAGGGGATTCTGTCCTCTCACAAGTATCATAGTGAACTTGTGGCAAAAAAGGGATCTTGCCACAGTATCATACAATGCCTACTGCAGACAGTCCTAGGAAAATGACGGCTTTGCTGCACCTTGCACAAAAGCTCCACCAATTCTGAAGTGACAATCAATGGGATTCCATAAACATTTCTGGGAATGCTGGAGAAGGTAAATAACAGCAGAGCTGTCCTGCTCCTCCCAGCTTTCAAACACCCAAACCATAGCCCTGCTTGCCTTTATCCCCACCATGTTCCCAAGACGCGTGCACCTGTTCCTGATTACTGCACTGCTCCTTTCCCCACCCTGCCAAGACATCTGTGGTAACCAGAATTAGCATTCTCCCCTATATCAGGAGATTCTTCCGTGGTCCCTTCTCACTGGGTAACTGGTCCTATGTACCAAAGCTAACTCAATTCACCTTTGCAGGCAAAGATCAAATAACTTTTACATATAGCAGGATGCTAATAGGCCCCTGGCAGTAACGTCCACACTTGTGCTTTAATCACTATTCTGTTTACTTTGACTGTTGCTTAGCACAACAACCAGTAACCCACTCCTGTTATAGTAGACAGGAGACATTGTCTGATGGGAAGCAAATAGTATTGGTACCAATAAACAACTTGGTCTTGACAAGGTCTAAGTCTAAGACACCCAGAGGCCTGGCTGACCAGCAAAAGGACTGGGGACAGAGAATGCCAGTCTCAAAATTAGAGTACTGTCAGCCACAGAAAATCATTTGTTAGGATAACTTTGCATGGCATACAGATAAACCCCTGGCCTCGCTGCCCAGAGCACATATGACTCCTTTCCCCCACTACTTGACAGATTACTTTTCAGACCAGGTGCAACACAGGTCAGAGACATATCCTTTGGCTTGATTGCTACAGCAGCCATTGTAACTATCTTGGGAAGGAAGAAGTCACTGGACCTTTCCCAAACCACAAATATGAATGAGCCAGCAAAACAAGCAAATGGCTGCCCAAGGCCCAAATCCATGTGATTTAAGAACAAAGTCAGTTCTAACTCCTGGGTCACAACAAGCAACTGCCTTACAACACTGCCGGAATGAGATGATTTTGGCAGCTAGGAAGACCCAGTTTAACACTAGCACAAGCCTAAGCACCATGAAGTAGCTGAGCTGGTAATACCATTGTCTCTTACTATAATACCTCTGTGAGGTCTTTCAAGTTTATATATCTATAAAGACAGAAGACTAGGAAGATAATAATACCTGCCATGCAGCATGTTCCTCTGGTGACCATCCAGATCCTTCCCCTTCCCGAGCCTCTAAAGGGGGAGTACACACCACAAATAGCAGGAGAGGACATCACACGCAGAGGGAAGGAGGAAAAGGTGAAGGCAGCAGGCCTAACTCAGCACTAAGGCTGATACCTGCTCAGAACGCAAGGAATAGGGAAGCTGTCAGGCTGATTCAGTGACCTATTTAGTAATCACCTCACCTTTTCTCAGATCTCACATCTCAGATCAAGTCCCTTGTAAGAGACATAGTTGTAACAAACTAAGGAATCCCAGAAGTAGATCAGGACCCTGAACACAGGAGGAAGATTCCTGCACTATTTAAAGCTGAAGTCATCCCTTTTTTTAAATCCTCTTGGGAAATGTAGGGGTGCATCCCCAAGGCAGTCTCAGTCATGCACACGCACAATGACCTGCTACATAGCAAAGAGATTATCTATCCAACATAGAAGAGAGCTGCCCTTCAGGCTTCACTGGATACCTCAGCAGGGCAGATTTGCATCCCAAGAAATAGCTTACCCAGATGTCAACTCTCTAGAAGGAGCAGTCTGCTCACTAAATGGAACAAACCGGAAGCACTAAGAGCATGACCTATCTATAAAAAAAAGTAACATCAAACAGAGCCGTATAATCTCTGATCCATAACTAACTGTGGTACCATCAGAAACAAAGACAGACAGAGGTGAGGTACATAAAAATTTGGGCAGGGGAGTATTGCAGAGATTGCCTTTACTGCCATGAGAGCCACCTCAGCCTTCTTTGCTTCATGGTTTGAGTCTTTTGGGAGGAGGAAAGGTTCAGCAAAAGGCCTTGCTGCAAGACAGCAGCCCTGTGCCCCTCCTGCACGTCTGGAATGGTTAGCGGTAGCACAGCATCCGGTGTGGCTGAATGGAGTGGTTACTGCCCCCCATTGTAGGCATAGTCAGCCTTGTTGTGCATGATCAGCTTGTTGTCCACAAAGTAGAAGCTGTCCGAGCGGGTCTCATAGGGGTTTTCAACCATCAGGCGGACTGTGGGAGAGAAAGCCCAGTTATACTCAAGAACAATGTCTGCTACACCACCGCTAGGGGAAAGCAAGGGACAGAAAACCACCCCAGAGTCTCTGACACCCAGCGCCTCCATGCAAGTCAGAAAAGCAAACTTCTAAATGGTGAGCCCCAGGAGCTCTACACAGACCCATTCTATTGTCCATGCACAGGGTGGAGGTCTTCGGGCTGTAAAAATTAACTATGGGAGTAGATCAGTTCATAGATATCCAACAAGCCGTCATGTCATTCTTCCTGTAAGACCTGATATGCAGTCAACACAAGTTGCACACAAATTCAGTTCAACCTCTCTTTGCCAGACATACCTACAGAGAAACACGGGGCATTGAGCTGCTCCCATCCTGTCCATCCTGCAGGGGTATAGTGGGTCTTCTAACAAGACTATATAGGGCATGCTCAGAACCTGGCATCACTGATAGCCTTTTACAGGCTCCTGACAAAAAGCAAGCCCTGTTCTGAAGCTGAAAAGGTCCAACTTCAAAATCTTGAGAAACTACGATCACAGCCTCCCAGATCTTGTTGCCTCAGATTATGGGAGAAGACACTACATGCAAAAGGTCTGTGACTGAGGTCACAGGCTCTTGACAGCATCGCACCCAGGCATCAAGCAGGGCTTCTTCAGCTCTCACTCATGCTGATGGAAAAACAGCAGCAGCAGGTGACAACTCTGTCTGGGTTACACATCAGCAATGCAACCCAGTTCTACCTGGTCCCAGTCCTCTGCCCCACCACACAACCATTTTTCTTCTTAGCGAGAGAAGAACTGAATAAAGCAGAAACTCAGCAAAGGAGGAATGGGTACATACTGAGATCCTCTGAGAGCTGAGGGAACTCATAGATGTGTTCACATGTGTTCCTGCTACTGGGGATGCAGAAGCCAAAGTCAAAGTCAAAGTTCTTCAGCAAGCGATCCTGGAAGTAATGCCTCTCGATCATTCGGAAGTTTGACACTGGCTTGTCTCCCACTGTGAACTCCACTCTGCAGGGAAAATACACCTCATGAGACCAATTCATTTAATAGTGAGAGGGGCGCAAATCAGCACCTTTCCATGTAGGTTGAACTGAGTTCTCACTAATCCAAGGTTCAGTTTAGTTATGAACTGACAGGGCTTGTACCCAAGGCTCCCTAGAGGCTTTACCCTCTCCTCTTCCTACAAGGTTTTACTCACGTTGCACCAACGGTCCGCAGACGGAGGAACGCTGGAGTGAACTGGTAGCGAACAAAGCGGCCTGCACTGGTGTCCAATTCTCCACCATCATCGTCCTCCTCTTCATCTTGCTCTGGAAAAGTTCACCAACTCAGTTAATCTTCTGATAACTTAAGTGAAACCAGCTGACCAGCTCAGAGCTGACAAACAAGCCACCCAGGGAAACTGCTCAAGCACCCAAGACTGCAGTATCCAAAAGCTGTTTTTTGATCCATTGCTGGCACTAAATTGTTAACATGGAACAGTTTCATAACAAATTCCACCACAAGAAACAGGATTTGTTAATCCCTATGTTCAAAAACATGTTCAGGAAATCAGTTCCGATTGCTTGCCTCTCACTTGCAATATCTACATCCTGCTTACCTTTGGCTACCTGTATAAAGGAGGTTTGTGGAGCTCAGGCAATTATATTTCTTTAATACTAACCCATTTTTTTCAGGACTCCCCCAGCCCACGTACATCTCATGAAACACTAACAATGGCAGCACATTTGTACAGCATAGATTCCCCAAATGTGACATTCTATTTCCAACAGCCTAGCTGAAGCAAGGAGGTAAAGACATTTGGATATAGCATTCACAAGCTGTCTAGGTCACTGTAAAAAGACAGTATCAGTCCAGAGGTGCTCAGCAGTAACTCTGAAGTCTATTGTATCCAAGACATCACTTCTAAGAGAAGAGTTTAAGTTCTACAGAAAACACATGACTATAGCTGGCCTGACAACAGTTTCAAGGCTGAAAGGATTACACACTCCCCTCTGACTTCTATGGCAGGCTCTTTCTATCAAGCCTAAGGCACATTCACATGATCTGAAGGAAGCTCCATGGAGAGAGGATTTCAGTCTGTTCTCATGAGTAAATTCGCTTGGCATGCTGTATAACATACACTAAGACATCCCCAGGCAGGATAGCAAGGGGCAGCACAGGACAAGGTGTGCGCCCTGCTATCCTGTAGTGTTGGGTGGTACCATATTCAAAAACATTGCACTACTCCACATATGCTGCCTCCCAACCCAGAAGCAGTGTAGCTGCATTTATGTATCAGGCAGGCTTAACACTGCTGAGCATACCACTGCATGCCATAGTCAGTATGCATTGCAGACATGCCCTGAAAAACTGTAGTATTTGGCATGCACGGCTCGCCATATCGCATACTCCACTCGTCTACAGGTCCTACCTGTGGCAGATGGCTTGGCAATTTCAAAGAGCACTGTCCCAGTCTCAAGGTCCCGGATCTTGAACCTGGTGAAGTCGATATTGTAAATGTTGTCTTCAGGTTTGCATAAATAATCTAGGAGAAAGGGGAATGCACTTAGGAGAGCCCTTCCTCATAAGAGTCCAGATGAAAAAACAATAATGGGGGATGCCATAGCTATGCCTCAAAGGACCTCCTTCTCCTCTCCTGTTTACCAAAAGACTTTCAGCTACACTGCCTGAACCCAGTCTTCATACAATGGGGCACTTCCCCAGAAGCTTCCGGAAGGACAGAGCAATGGGGGTCCAGGGAGACCAAAGTCCAGACAGTTCTGGAGGACAGAGCATGGAAGGGAAAGCCAATACCAAGGATTCAAAGGTTCACGGAAACTTGCACTTGACAAATCCCAGCTGTCGAAGCAGTGCAAAACCAGAGAGCGTTGGTGTGATCTTAAGTGGACAAATTGGTTTTTAAAAGAGCTGCACCCATTTAAACCACTAGTATTTGGCTCAGGGTTTGGTTTGGTTTTGGATCTGACACTGTGCAAGCCCAAACACTCCCTCCCCTGCAAACACAAGAACAGATGGGTGAAGCTCTGGATCCTGCCTGGCTAGTCAAACAAAGCAGCAGTCCAGAGACCACCAACTGGCACAGGTTAAGTACCTAAAAGCTGTCACAACACAAGGAAGTCCTGTGTAAACACAGAACGAGAGGAACAAATGGCTGGTAAAAGACACGCAAGCTGTTGATTAGACAGACTAAGCAAAGCAGCGCAGATGCGCAGCTGGGATCAGCGCTGACGGAGCCACCTGCCCAGCACACTAATCCCATCCCAGGGACAGGGAGGGCAAGGCTATTCCCTGGGCCGCAGCCCAGCAAGGTGCCACCCGAGCAGCAGCATCACACAACAAAGCCAAGTGCTGGGGGGATGGAGGGAGCCTGTCTCCTGAAGCAGCCTCGTAACTTCGTAGAAAGAAAACGGGGGCTACAGGGACGTCAACAAAGACGGGGTCGAGGACTCAGGTGAGACACAAGCAGGACCTTCAGGGCAGCCCCACACGGGCCGCGTCTGCGGTGGGGAAGCCGGGCGAGGCCTCCCCAGGTCGCAGCGCTGGGTCCGTGCCTGGTCGCGCTTCTCCCCCGCCCGCGGCTGCT